TAATAAGAAAACAATCAGACTAGTAATTAAGTGCTTGCTAGACATTTATAATAACATAAATTTATTAAAAATTAATGTTAATGGCTAATTTTATATTGTGCACATGCGGCCATGAGTTTTGAGATTATATGAGCCCCGAGTTGTTACATTTTTGAGCCGAAAATGGTGGTACACCGGTGATCCGGATCAACTCGGGAACTAACTACAGTTGATCCGGATTAAGTCCGAGTTAATCGGGATCAACACTGGCGTCTGTTTAAGCTTTAAGATAATGCATTATCGTCGGCTTTGCGTAAAGAACATCCCGAAATTGCATTTAAATGAAAACTTAAAAAATATATACTAAAAAAAGTAAAAATAACAACTCGTGCTTATGTACTTGTGTATGTAACGTATATGCGCGTATTATCATACATTCTAATATGAATACGGTGACCAGATTTCTGTGGCCAAAAATCGGGACATTTCTAAAGCATCGAATCCGAACATACAATTCTGTTTTTAGAAAAAAAAGGCTGAATACAGTTGTATTTGATACAAAACAAAAAGAAAAAAATTTAAAATTTTTTATTATTTTTTTATGAAAATATAACTTACTATCTAAAAAAAACATGTAAATCAAAATTTCAAAATTTGTAGAACATTTATAAAATTTCGACGAATTTGAATAAATCCTCAGCACGATTTTAAACATTTTAATCAGATTTTCTAGAATTGTTTTGAGTATGCAGTTTTGAAGCCCATTAAATTTTAATATAATAAAGTGCAAGTTGGAAGAAGCTTTGATTTTGAGCAATTTTTTGTTCGCGTATTTTCTTCCATACACAGTATGTTCAACAATTTTTTTTGCATGGAGAAAATGAGCAACAGCTTCCACAAAATTTATCAAATTTCAACGGCAAGTCCAAACTACTTAGAATTTGAATTGAATCGGTTACAAAACTGCATACTCAGATTGTTTCTAAGAAATTTAATTAAAAAGCGATCAATTTTGATGAAACTTTGTCGAATTTTGCTAATTTTTGTACAAAGCTTCAAATTCTGACTTACATTGTCTTTGTTAGATAACGAGCCACACTTTAAAAAAAGGGAATACCCAAAGAAAGCTAAAATGTCTCTTCCCTGTTTATATTTTCGCCACTCTATCTACATCTTATGTTTTTCATGTACACGATTTTTTTGAGGGTATTAGTATTATTTTTTATAATTTCATTAATTATATTATTGTAATAATAGCCAGTATATGTTTATGGCTCACTTGTATTATATGGACTTTGTGATAACGAAAGTGCTGCCTCGTTTGTACGAAAAATTTTTTTTCGGGCCAGAGTACAGGGAGAATTTTAATAAATGAATAAAGAAAACGCTGAAAATCGGGACTTAATCGGTACAAATATGAAAAATCGGGACACTTATACGTCCCGACTTTTAAAAAATATTCAACGGGACCATTTTCGCAAAATCGGTACTGTGCCGCCAAAATCGGTACGAATGGTCACCGTAAATATGAATATTCTATTTGAAAAAGTGTTAAAGTTATTAAAAAACTATTATGATTTTTTCGAGTGACTATAAAAAATTAGTAATTTCGGCAAGTTGTCGCCTAACGATTTAAGGCTAAAATTGTTCAAATACTTGATTTATTTTTTATTATGCTTGTTTCTGGAACTCTTGTGATTGAAATATATGGGTCATTCCATACAATATTTACACCTCAATATTTTTTTGGGGGTGGAATATATTTGAGGTAGTTAAAGGAGCTTTTCGGCCGGTTTTTTTATTTCGTCATGATATTCGAAAATCTCGGAAAAAAATTCCCCGAAATTTGGCAAATTGCCTTTTCTACCTTTAAAAAAGTGATTCTTTTTTTTCAAGATTCAAAAATATACACATGCCCATGCGGCTTATAGAAGCGCAGGGACCTCTTGCCAAATTGGTGTTGAAAAAATTCAAAGCCGTTTGCTCAGCTAACGTAGGCTTGAAGACAATAAGGGGTGTGGGTAAAATTGTAAAGGGCGAGGAAAACGCCCTTATTCCTGATAATATGAACGTTCCAAACGTTCCATATTTAAATTGGGCTCCATTTGTATTAACTTACGTCGAGCGCACATTGAGTACATTCAAGGATTTTCTTCGCGAAAATCGAATAAAAATGCTGCCAGAAAACTTCAAAATGCACCTTGTGGTTCAATGTTACTACAACTATAGAGATAAAAGTTGTGTGAGTTAAAAACTCGAAAGGAGAAAATAGTCAAAGATTCAAAGTACAAATTTTTCATATAATGAAACTAATTCATAGTTTTTCTCTTTTTACTTGAAATATAAACATTTCTAAAATAAATATATTTTTTGATTGTTCTTCGTATTTTCTGTCTTTTTTTAGTGCCTTATTTTGCTTTTTTTGCAATACCTTTTTTTGCCTTTTCCTGCCTTTTTCGCTATTTTATTTTGCCTTTTTTACAATACCTAGTGCCTTTTCCTGCCTTTTTCGCTATTTTATTTTGCCTTTTCCAGCCTATTTCGTTACTTTATTTTGCCTTTTTTATAGGTTTTTAGGTCCTAAAAATCCGTTGCCTGATCATGACGAAATAAAAATTGTCCATTCAATCAATTTAATTAACAAGTTAGAATAAGGATTTTAAGGATAAAGGTTTTAAGAAAGCTTTATTTCTAAAATATTTTTTGAGAGGGTTGCCATCTGTTTAGAAATTCTAAGTCAATTTAATTAACAAGTTAAATTGAGTTTTTAAAGGGGTATCAAAAGAGAGAAGTTTAAGAAAGCTTTATCTCTAAAATATTTTTTTTAGAGGGTTGCCGCTTGTTTAGAAATTCTAAGTCAATTTAATTAACAAAATAAATGAAATTTTTAAGTGGTGTTAAACGAGGGTAGTTTAAGATAGATTTATTTTCAAAATATTTTTGGATTTTTGAGACTTCTCACCTGTTACTAAATTCGAAATCAATTTAATTAAAGAATTAAATTAAATGTTTTTAAGGGTGTCAAACGAGGGAGATTGAAGTAAAACTTTGCTTCTAATATTTTTTTTTTGACGAACCAAACTATAAAAGTATTTGATAAAATTATACTCCTTAAGTGTTTCGTAGTGTTTAACAGAAAGGATGCGTCAATCAGTCGGTTTATTCTTCGAAAAATTGGAGTGGTAACTAAAAAAATCACTATGTACGAAAATGTGTTGTCTTAACATTTTTTCAATGTGAGGAACTATTATGATCGTACAAATCGATGTGATACTCTTTAAATTTCCATCTTTCAAACACGGTACGATCCAGATTTATTTCTGGCCAACGTCTCACACACTTCATCAGCACTTCTTAAAGGAATGTTTTAATAACAATAACACGACGTCTTGAGTTGTTTGATGACACAAAAAATTCACAACCTAATTTGACAAGAAATATCCAATATACTCCCGAAACTAGGAGCCAAATAAAGAAAAACTGCGTTTTTAGTTTTTCTTATTGACGCCTGGATTTTTTCAAAGAACTTTGAAATTCCAAGGCTATAGTTTATTCAAAAACTTATTTTCAAAAGGCAGAGAACCTTCGCCATTATTAACAAAAAAAATGTATGCACCAGGGCGAAAAAGCCGGAATTAAAAATGTATTTTAATTAAAATAATTTTTTGTATCCTAAACTAATAAGTTAGAAAGACCAAAGATGAGGATGTGGCAGTGCAAATATTAGTACTTAGCATACATATATTTTTCAAAAAATAAATATTGGAAATTTTCAAGAATATTCAGGTTTAAGATTTTAAAGAGCACTTTCATTACATATTGGTCATTGTGTACCACAAAATAAATAAATAAATAAAATTTTATGTTTGTCAATTCTGGCGAAGTTTTTCTTTTATTTGATTTCCATATTTTTATTCTACATTGCATTTAATTTTTTTTTAATCAATTATATCCTTGAAATTTCTCTCAAAAAATCCTGACGTTGGACAGAAAAACTAAACTAAATATGTATGTATGTGTTTATATTATTGATTTTTTGTGTGTAAAATTTGCTGTCGCGCGGTATAATCATTTACAATTAAACGCAGTGTTCAGTTTTGGAAAAGAATGCAACAAAATGCGCCTTTGGGGCCCACCTATGCAACAACCTACAAATTTCACGTATGTACTTAGAAATGCATTCACCTTCCGCCACTTGACAAGAAACAATTGGTGAGACAAGCAGGAAACATTGCACGTAGTTGTGGTGAAAATGCATAGATGTCACCAGCATATACCTCAATGACAATGGTGAGGTGAGATGATAATACAAGTGCCTAGTGCCTTCTTTTATTCTTTACCCTTCATCTTATTAACACAATCAAATGGACTGGAGCATAAAAACGTTTGGTAGGGAAAGTGAGAATGAAAGTGAAACTGAAATTAAAATACCTACATGAAATAAAAAAAATAAAGAAATTACGGTACATTTAAAAGAATAAATAGGTGGCGGTGGTGTCTGGCGATGGTATTTTACACAACAATGAGACAAACTGTATACCAAAGTGAATTTCAAGGAAATGAGAAGAAGTGTAATGGAAATAGGAAACACACAAGTTAAAAACAAATAAGAAACAAGGTGAACACATAAGAAACGTGACAGTTAAAGAGAGAGGGATACCGTAAAACATAGAAATTGTATTGTATAAATTTTGTTAAATTTTTTTTTCTTTTTTTTTGTTTGTTGGTAGTGTTTTTTCTGCAACTTGCACTTTTACAATTGTGTTGTGTTTTGCTTCTTTTTTTTGAATATACGTTAAATAAACAATTTGCATTTGCAAATTGTATTTGTATTTGGTTTTTATGTGTAAGTATGTATATATAGTTTTTTTTTGTTGTAAATAAATAGTTTTATATATTTTAATTTAAACCAAACGCAAAACAAATAAAAAATATTTTACATACATAAATAGTTTAGTTATAGCAGATATGTAAATTAGTTGGTAAATTGTGTGCGCATGATATGACATTCGGGTACTCACCAGCATAAATCGCTAAAAATATCGAGAGGAATGAAATGACGCTTGCCAAGAATTTTGCCTCCATTTTTGGTATTGATCCGTGGTTTGTACTTTTATGCTTAGTATTGTAATTATAACAATTGCGATTTTTACAAGTTCTTTACACTACTGTTGTTGTTGTTGTTGCTTGGTTGGTTGTTTGTTTGCTGGCTTGATGATTGGTTAGTTGCTGTTGCTGCTGCTGGCGCTGCTGGTGTTGATGTTGCAGTTTTTTTTTTCTCCTTTTTTGTTGTAATTTACTTTGCTATTTTGTTTATTTGTTATAAAATATTGTTGCCACGTCTGTTGTTGTTGTTTAATTTTATGTATTTTTGCTGCAATTACTGTAATTAACGTTTCAAATTTGGTTATTAGTTGTCGCGATTTGCTTCTTGCTCTGCTTCTGCTGTTAATGACGCTAACGTAGGCGGTTGTAGCTTTTATAGGTGGTATATGCACATGTATGTACTATCTACGTATATAGTATATAAGTATGTACATACGTCTACATACGTCTACATACAATACATATGTCGGTGCTATTAGCTTTTCCTACTAGTATTTATTATAGATGGCTTGTAATTTTTTTTTTTGTGAATATTCTCCAACTTTATCTTGCTGCGTTGCAAATATTTTTAAATTATGAAATTTTCTTTAGCCTTGAATGGATTAGCTCTTTTCAAATCGCCCTTTTTGTGTTTTAATTTTGCGTTATCCCAACGTGGTTGTCCCGTAACATACATAGATTTATTTTATTTTTAATTAGTATATTAAATTTACGTTTAATTTTCTATAATGAATCCAAAGTTGATCGTCGTCTTCGTCGTAGTCGTCGTCGCAGTTAAACGAGCTGCATCATTTTGTAAGGAAGAAAACGAAAAAAAATAAATAAACAAAAAAAATGTATATTTAATATGAACAAAGACACGTTAATCGAATAGTGACGACAATGTCGACGACGACGTTGGCGCGGCCAGCAACAGCGGGAATCACGATGATCGGCCGAGATTTACAGGCATTTTGTGGCCAGCGACGATGACAGCGATGTCAGTGCGCCAAAAAAAAAATGGAAGAAAAAGAAATAAGAAGAGAGAAATATTTAGTTAGCACTTACGAGTATGTGCACTTTTTTTATTCGGAAATATTTTGTATATAAAAAAACGCGTTTTTATGGTTTTTAATTATTTTTTGATTGATGTTCAAGTGTGTGTATTTATGTTTATTTTGCAATAATTTGTTTAAATCATTTAAACCACTATATTTATAGGGGTTGTCATGGAGGGAGCAGAAAAAATTTCTAAAGCACGCGGATACCGTTATTGTTTTTTTCATAAATTAATTTATAATAATAATAATAGATTGGCGCTTACACATATGTTAGTGTTTGGCCGAGCTTAATTTATAGGCGACCGAAAAATTAAATTGAAGATGGCACCAATTCTGATAATGAATGACGGAAATACGTTCCAAAATACATATCGAGCCCTACCTAACCGCCAAAAAGACGTAAGCGACATTTTGTTAAAAATTTTATTTTTTACTGCATCAGAAAAAAATGTTGAAAAAACTCAGTTTGGCGGTTAGGACTCGATATCATCCCCTTTCCACGTATCTACATTTTTGCGAAAACTATTCGAATCATTAGGCCCTTTCAATATCAACAAATTTTTACGAACCGTTACTAGTACTTGCAAGTTTTTACTGGGAATGCATTCAATAACCCAACAAATTTGCGAAGGAGCGAATTCGAGAGCGTAACAACCCGAGAGAGCTATGAATTTTACTACAAATTCCTGCAGGAGACAAAAAGTAAGGTTATATATTTCAAATTCAAATGTAAACAAAGTTTTTAAGAGGATTATTTGATGAAACATAATTAGCGAAATGAAAATATGAATGAACAATTTAAATCTAATGTATATTTTTTTTATTTTTATGACGATGGGAACTATTCCCAATTAAAATAGAAATTGCGCGCCAAAACTTAACCGTCAGAAAGTGTCAAAATGGTGCCAATTTTGCTCTCTATTTTTCTTTTACGCTCTCGCTGCAAGTACTTATTGGCAAAGTTATTGAATGGACCTATTTACAACCAAATTTTCAGCATCATACTTCTTTAACATAAAAGAAAAACTTTAAGTGAGTGCTCGCTAGAACTCGAAACTCAAAAAATATGTCATTCAGATTTTGAAAGCTGAGTAAAAATGTCCAGATTTAGATATGTATGTAGGTGTAGAGATTTTCGACCCTTTGCAGTTTTATAGACTACCACTATATTTTGCAGACATTTTTTAAATGCTTGTTTAATCAGCTTTCCGGAGCGTGCATATAAATTCCCCCAAATGCTCCAAAATATGTTAAAACAGTTTTCGAAATTCCGACCATATATAATTTCCACATTTCTCACCGCCTCACGATAGAACTGTGCTACGGACCAGCGGCAGAAAGGAAGAATGCAAGGAATGATCGAAAAATAATAGAAAGAATCAATGTGAACAAGCCAGGCGCAGACACTATTTGTTGGCCATCAACCGTTGACCGCAAGTCACCTCAAAGTACGAAGCCAACGAATAAAAAAAAATTTGCACGTTGTATGGAGCGGCGAGGAGGCGATTGCGCTCACTAGTGTCTACACATGTAAGTACTATTACACACGCACAGTTTGGTACAATTTTATTTCGACTGCACAATTCACACTGATTTTGTGCATAAAATAGACTGATAATTTCTATTTTTTGTTTTAAATGTTTACTCTTTTTTATTAAATTTTTCTGTTTCCTTTTCTCTTGGAAGCACAAGTAAACGAGAACTGAGAACCAAGAACTTGGGACGCACCAGCAAATAAGCGAGTATATACAAAAAAGCAAGCGGACACGACAACGGCGAGCACGATACTGACTGACTATGAGTGTTTTCACAAATAGAAAAACACTACACTACCCCGACGAGAACAAGGAATCGAAATCGAAATCAGCGGCAACGCCAACGGCGACGACAATGACAATTACGATGACCACCAGACAAAGAAATGAAGCAGAGTGTGTAAATTATCCACAACAATACAACAGCGGACGATAAAGCAGGAGAAATGGCGAAAATAATAGAACTATGTACTATCGATATATAGTAGACAAAAAAGAAAAAAGTAGTTTTTTTTTAACTGAACATTAACAATGGAAGGCCGATAAACATGAAAAAAATGCAAAACACGGTGCGACGCGGTGACACCAACTAAAAGCCCAGACTGATAGCGACAATGGCGGTAGCGGTGGCGGCTAGGAGCACAACATTCGCGAACGACCACAATTGAACGACTAATCATGACCAAAGTAGCGAAAGCGATATTCGCAAACAACCAGCAGGCAGGGCGGGCGTTAAGGTCACCACCAGCTTGAGAACATGCAAGCGATTATAGCGAGCAAGCGGAGCATTGTTAGGCAGAGCGTATAAACACACGAGCAGCAAGTGAGCTAATCAGCAAAGAGTTACTACCCTGCAGTGAAAAATTATCAATTGTTAAAACTAACCAACTTATAGTTAGTTTTCTGGCGAGATTTCGATTAATACCTCACTTTTAATTAGCTATGACAAAACCAACTTAAAGTGAATTGTAAAGTCGCGCAGGAGTCATGCAGACGCAATCGGGAGTTGGTTTTCTTTACAAGTTTCTATTAAATATCCTCATACAAAAATTACTTTCAATACACTTTTTTTCTGAACTTCGCAGATTCTTTTTCATATTCGGGACAAATAAAAGGAAGATCGAAATTTTATACTATCATTTTGAAGTAATGTCTGACGGTGTTCGACTATGTGGCTACCCAGAGCAGAATATGTAAACAAATATGATATGTAATAAAATAAAGTAAATAAATAAGAAAATAAAAAAGTAAAAAAACAAAAAAATATTTTGTTTTTCTTATTGATATTTTATGTCCAAAAGTAGTTAGTTACAAGTTAGTTGACATGTAATGCAGAGGTATCCAGGTCCGACTTTTTTGCGGCCCCACAAAAGTAGTTAGCTTTTTTCGAACAAAATACACAGTTAATAGTTAGCACTAGTGTTCGCGTAAACAGACTAAAGTTAGGTATAAGCTAACGTCACTCCCTGCAGGGTACATACAGTGCTCATTACTGATCGGCTACCGCTACATATCGCTTATGTATTGAATTCGATAGTGTCATAACTCAAAAATCTAAACTCGAGAAAAACGGCTTTAAAGTTTTGAATTTATATATCGTTACCTTAATTTACATAGGCCCTAACCAACAAATTTTTTATTTTACAGGAGAAGCAAAAACGTTATAAAAAGAGTATCAAAAACAGGTAGCGCTTTTTAGAAAGTGGCATGTAACTCCGTTGATGTTGGTACTAACAATCTAAAATTTTTATTGAAGGTGTATTTTAATACATGCACCAAAATCTGTGAAAAATGCAGTTTCGAAAAAAAGTTTGTGAATTAATTAACGATATACATACAGTTACGGTCAAAATAATAGAATCAAGATTCAAAATGATGCTGTTGGCAACATATCTTTATTTATTTATTGTCCATAATTTTCATTTAAAATATGGGTCGACCTATATCAGATACCACATAAATAAAAGTTTCAAAGCTTGTACAAATTTCAAACAAATTAATCAAATTTGTTTTTGTTATATTATGGCCTTATAACAATTATATTCAACAATTTTTATTTATGCGTTGCGGAAGAAAACTCGCAACACCCTCGACAAAAAAAAATATAAAAAATCAACGCTAATTCTTAGCGACTTCAAACTTGCACTTTAGTATACTAAAATTGAATTTGCTATAAAACTACTTGCTTGCTAGGAAATCTAATTAAAAAAATCAAAATTTTGATTAACAGTTTTTTAAGTTTAATTAGTTTTTGTGAACTTTGTGTAATCTTTGAAACTTTTATTTATGTGGTATCTGATATAGGTCGACCCATATTTTAAATGAAAATTATTAACAATAAATAAAGATAAGTTGCTAACAGCATCATTTTGAATCTTGATTCTATTATTTTGACCGTACCTGTACATACATACATACTCCCATAGTCAAAATTAATACATATTTTGTTCTAGTGAGCTATTGGTAATCGCTACAGCTATGAAATTTTTACACAACATATAAGAAAAGGTAGCGGTATTTTCTGCATACATAACCAAATTTTTGTATTTTTTGGATTTGAAGTAATATATGTATGTACATATGTACGTCCGTGAAGCATTTTTATTTCTTCAACACGCTGGAGTTTAAGACGCTTGCACATATGCACGTACATATTATATAGATACAGTTCTCCACGACCAGTTTTGAGTCTTTTTCTTTTGTTTATTTAATGTTATTTTTTAAACAAGAAACCCATATAAATTCACATTTGGAACTTTGTACAAAAATTATAAAAATTCTGCAGTTTCACATTAATTTAAGTAGAGTCTTTAGAAAAAATGTTTGTATGCAGCTTTGTAGCCCATTAAATTTAAACTACAATTTGTGCAAGTGCAAGTTTGAAGTTACCTGAGCTAATGCACCTTCTTTCGAAAGAGGTTTTTTATTTCCGAAACGCGAATTGCAGGGAAAATTTCTCGAAATCGCTTTTTTATCTGTTCACACAGCGAATGAATTTCCGGCGTCTTTTTCGCTACTAAAATGCAACCGTGAGCCAATCTTCTCTTGTTTGTTATTAATTTTATTTTTATTTTGAAGATTAAATATTATTTATAACTAAACAATTGAATTCTACAAAATAATTAACTAAAAGAATGTCCGATTTTTTTTTAATTATTCGTTATTATTTCTCGCAATCTCGCTGTCACCGTCAGACGGCAACGCTCGATAAGTTAGACAGCACTTGCAGCAGAAATAAATATTGCTAGTGCAGCCCGAGCAAATTGAAATATATTTCCGAAATCGATTTGCGCTCTTTCAGTTGCAGTCACACGACGCAAGTTTAATTTCTGAAACTGATTTCCGAAAAGTGGCAGAAAGGTCTTTCTGGCCGTTCACACATGGAAATAAAATTTCTCTTTCTCAATTTGACAGCGAATGGCGTGGAAAAGTGGGAAATATTGCCACGTCTGACGCGCTCTTAAGTATCGAAAAGATATACCCCTGTTTTTTATTTATAAATCAAAAAATATTTGGAGCTAACTCAAAGTTGTCCATGTATTTTATATGATAAAAAAAAAAACAATTTTTCGTACAAATGGTATAGAATTCTTTAAAATCACTATTTCCGATCGCTTATTTTACCATTTTTTAATATTAACGTTTTTTATGGGTCACCCGATTGCATTTTTTTAGGTTCTAGGGGTATCTATAAAAAAAAAATATTCAAGAATTCTATACCACTTCTACGAAAAACTGTTTTTTCCCATATAAAATACATGGAAAACTTTGAGCGATTTGAGCGTTCTCTACTTAAATATTTTTTTATTTCAAAATAAATCTTTTCCGGCAGACAACCCTAGGGGGTGAGAGCATTAAAATTCCGACTTTACCTATTTTGGATCACCCTAATGTACATACATACATGCTTACAAGAACACTGTCGCCGACTGAAGATGCTATTCGCATCAGAAACTGGCGAAAATGCTTCAAAGAAGAGCAGTGCAGTATGTATAACATTCGACGAAAATGTGTGATTCTAGTAATTTATCAGTCAGTAAATAGATTCCTTTTGATCTGGCCCTACAAGTTTATCTTTTCTTATCTTATGCCTTCAAGATAAAGTGGCTAGTTTTGTCATTATTTGAATAGCCGTTATCTCAGTCAACGTAATTATAAACGTAGTTATGTGAAAAAGTCGGGAAACAACACGGCGTATGAGGAACCAATAGCAAGTGATAATTTTATCATCTATACTAATTATATAAAGAGAAGTCCCTTTTTTTGTAACAGGTAACCTCGCGAACGGCTGCTCCGATTTTCATGAAATTTTGTATACGAATAGCTTTCGGTAACCACCATGTTTTAGGCTAAAAACTTTTACTTTTCTACGGGTATGTGGACCAGGGACCGGTCTATTCGAAAAAATCTTATTATAGTCCGATTTGCTTAAAATTTAGTAAGTAAGTAGCTTTTTAGCATATATTAGCATATATGACCCATTTTTTCCGGGAAGTGGTCCAGGGACCGATATATTCTAAAAAATCGAATTTACGGTCCGATTTGCTTAAAATTCGGTGCGCAGATAGCTTTTTAGCATGTATTAGCATATGTGATCATTTTTTTCCGAGTAAGTAGTTTTTTAGCATATATTAGGATATATGGTCCATTTTTTCCGAGAAGTGGACCAGGGACTGATCTATTCGAAAAAATCGTAATTACGGTCCGATTTGCTTAAAATTCGGTACGTAGGTAGCTTTTTAGCATATATTAGCATATATGATCCATTTTGTCCGAAAAGTGGACCAGGGACCGATCTGTTCGAAGAAATCGTATTTATGGTCCGATTTGTTAAAAATTCGGTACATAGGTAGCTTTTTGCCTGGATAAGCTTATAGATTCCTGTTTTCCAATTTTCATGCCATTTCGAATATAAATAGCTTTAAGTAACGACCATATCAAGGGGCGAATTCGTCACTAGGCAAGATTTTTTTGCGCCAATCAGAAACAACGGATACTGTCAAAATATAATTATAATATATAATATATCTCAACTAATTTATATTTAGAAAGCCGTTTGTTAGTTTTCGCAAGGCTCGAGAGCGGCTGAACCGATTTTTTTGAAACTGCCACCTGCCGCACGTGTCCCAAGGATGGTTTTAGGCTGAAAAAAATCTATATGTAAAGGGGGCGTGGCACTTCCCATACAAACCGATTTTCTCATGCTACATATCTCTGAAAGTGTGCATGGTAGAGTTTTGGAAATTGGTATG